TCAATGGCTTACTTACTTTCCAGATTCTGAGTGTAGAATCCACCCATGTTGGTGCAAAGGCCCAATGCGTTGTTGTCGTGTGATGGTGGATGTTAGATGTTGACGAGCTTTGGTACAGGAAGGAAGGACCAGGGGCAAGCGTTGGCCGTGGGGAACGAGCTGTCTCGGAAAAAAGTGAAGCTGTGGAAAAAAAAACAATGACCGCCAGCCAGCAGACTATGGAGCCAAAAACCCGGACGCCGTTTTTCGATGCAGTCGGGCCCAATGTGAGGCGAGCGAAAGTAGTTGCGCACACCAAGCCCTAAGAATAGGAGGCGTAGGGCAGCAATGGGGAGGAGGGGGACGACGGACGTGGTGGAAGAGAGAAGATGGCCGGGTAGTGTTCAAGTGGGCGTGGTGTGTGGGCGGCGGTAGGCAGTTAAGCTACGTAGCTTGGGATGCAGGAAATCCGGACCATCAACGGCGAGACATGTGTGCTTTATTGCAGGACGAGGAACAGAACGTGGTGCGGGGCAAGGCCACTCGGCAGCGCGCGCGAGCAGACAGGAGATGAGGAGACAGGGAGAGTGGTGAGGGGAGCTTGGGGAGGCAACTGGGACTCGAGACGCAAGAGGAAATGACGGAAACGCCAGCAGGTGAGGATGAACGGGGTCCTCGCAAGGGAGATGCAAGCGGCGATGCGGCTCTCGAAAGTGTGACCCATCCTGATGTGTTGGCCTTCTCGTCGCCAGTTAATAGTACCACTGGCGACTAGGCAACTCCACTGCAACACATGGGAGGGGGGGAGATGCACCATCCATGATCCAAGCGAAGATCTCTGATAAGTTTCGGACGAAGCCTGTCGCCTGTGGTGCGGTACCGCTGTTGGTCCATGTTTACCTCAGAAAGACCGATGGCTACCTGAACTCTCTTCCTTGCTTGCCGCCGCTGCTGGGATAGCAAGCGCTCAGGGTCGACCGGCCACAGCATCGACCACCGAATGGGGATGGACTTGGGTCCCGGACCTCGCTCAGCGGTTTGGCTACCCGCCTGGGACTTAGGACTGAATCCTGTGGCTGGGTGCAGAACAAGCCGCCGCCGACCGACCGAGAAGCACTTGCAGCAATAGTAGCAAGCAGACCTTGCAAGACAGTGGCGAAATGGAACCATTGTCATGACGGTGGCTAATCCCGCGTAGCCTGCGAGGTGGGCAAGCGGGCGAGAAGTCATTGTGTCGTGGACCCAGTTTGGAGCACAGGTCACAGTCTTCGCGCCGGCTTGGCAACAGACCAGTAAAACGCAATGCTGCCGGAGAAGCGCATCAAGACAGATGGATGACCGGGCTTGGGATGGGTGGGCTTTCCAGCTTCGTCACCAGGATAGAAGAGGGAGGGGAGGGGAGGGGAATCGCAGAGTTCAGAGCTCACGGATCCCGTAGTCGAGAGCCTAGGGGGTAAAAACAAAGAACCAGCCAGAAATCCGGCCTCCAAGATCTTTGTCTTAGCTGCACTAATGCAAAGAACATCAGCCAAAGAGAACGGCTTGTTTAGTGCTAGGGCCATTGAAATCGAAGTCAAGACGGTAAATAATACCACCACCTGCATGGCCACCTGTCATGGTGCCGCGGGGGGGCCTGGGAGGCTAGAGAGGCTTCTGCGTCATGTAGGTGCATGTTGTTCGAGTCCATTTCAAGCACAAGCCAGCTTCTTGGAGGGGCGGCGAGCGACGACGGTCGTCGGTCGGTGGGCTGCGGCCACATTCAGCGACCCGAGGGTAAGGATCAGAGGAACCAGGCCGACCATTCGATTTACCGCTGTGCCGACCAGGCCTTTGTCGAATGCAAGGTGATGTCTGTAATGATGATTGATATCGACGCGGTAATACACCCGGATGTGAGGCGACACATACTGCTTTCGAATCTCCATCGCTGAGTCTCGTCGCATCCGACATCCCAGTCGGTAAATACGGGCATGGGCATTTGAGGTGCTTGGGACAGTGAGCAGTCCGTCATCCAGAACAGCTTGCTAGGGATGGAGGGGCCAGCGCTCGTCGGCGACAGCTACCCGAATTCGAGGGGGGCAAGGGACTGGAGTGGCTCCAGTCCTAAAACACTAAGAGAAAAAAGAAGGTCGGTGAAGACGGCCGTCGCCAAAGCAGCCAGAAAAGAGGTGCATGAACAGCAAGCAGTGTCTGGGGCAGGGGTGCCGAGCGGGGTGGATGTTTTCTTGTTCGTTGGTTGGAAGGCCGATCGGTGGCAGACCAGGTTTTTCCGGCCACAACAAAGCTTACGAGAAGCCCTCCAGAGAGGATCCAGTCCATCACGAACACAGATGACGAGCGGGCGGGGGGGGGGGGCAAGCATGACGGCGCTGGCCCATCAACGAGCCAGAAGACCCAAGGGCGCTCCATGTTTGGTCGCTGGCGTGGGCGGGCAGGCGAGGCAACCAAGCCAAGATCGTAACAGCCTTCGAGACCCTTTGGCTCATGCACTGATGAGTTGGCATTGCTTGCTTGATATTACCTCGGGCGCAAGTAGAGGGAGCCACCGCACCGTACAGAGTACGTGAGCAACAGTTGGGATCCGATGC